CCTATGCTCTAAGATAGTTTTAAGAATAGTTTGCAATAGGGTTTTATTATCTTTGCCATTCCAAATTGCCCCCAATTGACTTAGTCATTTTACCTCTTCTTTGAATAAGACTAAATGATGTGTTTTACATTTTAATTCTGTTTTGATATTATTGTACTATTATTCTGATCAGTAACCATGATAAAGAGTAACTGACATATGCTGCTGGAGGCAACTTGCCCATTCACAAAAAGATTGCTGCCCATAATTAGTTAAATGTTGCCTGCCACTGCCTCTATCTTTCCTGAAAGTTATTGCCTTTTATCCCAAATTGATTTTTTTGTCTTCTTGGATAGGTGGGTATAAGAATAAAATACTAAGCTGCATGTGATTAGCAATTTACAGGTAGTCCTCAACTTATGACCCCAATTGAGCCCAATATTTATGTTGCTAAGTGAGAAATTTGTTAAGTGAGTTTTGACCCATTTTATGACTTTTCTTGCCACAGTTAAGTGAATCACTGCGGTTGTAAATTAGTAACACGGTCGTTAGGTAAATTTGGCTTCTCCATTGACTTTGCTTGGCAGAAGGGGATCACACGACCCCAGGACACTGCAATGGTCATAACTATGATGCAGTTGCCAAGCATCTGAATTTTGATCACATATATAGATAATGTAACAAATTGCCTATTCCAGGTTTCTCAACCTTGGCAGCTTTAAGATGGGTGGACATCAACTCCCAGGATTCCCCTGCCAGTGACCCTGGCCTAGTCTTGTATTGGAAGATACTGTGCTTTTAAAAACTGTATACCAGTGGATATATTAATAACTGAAAACACAGCATCCCAACCACCAAAATCAAAAAATTTTCCCCTTACAGAATTTAACTCAAAAGAACAAAAAGCACATTCTCTTCTTTTTAACATTCAACATCTGACTGTACCTTTTGGGGATCCTTCAGTAGTAGTAGAGTATCTTTATCAGTGCAATTTATACAATTTTTACAAGTTACAAGAAGAAAATTAAAAGCTTTTTGGTTTGCTTATATTGTAGAAATGTGGGATGATTTTTATGACTGACACAAGGCTCATCTAAGGTTGTGTTAATTACCTAGCAACATAATGACACCTATAGCATTGATTGCACAGCTATTGCAACAGTATTATAACATAGGAAAATAAAAAACAATAATAATGGATAATTCCAATGACCCTCTTGGCCATCATACAAATTTTCCATGAGTTTGAGGTTCATCCCAGGCTTTATGTGGCATGTTAACATCTGCACTCCAAAAATGAGTACGGTTGAGATTCATCTGAGGACATATTAAATCTTTTAAGTGGTAAAATATATGCCGTAGATTATTTTGTCACTTTAAACTACCTCCAAACGTCAAGAACGGCACAGAAGGGATGCTAATAGATCACACTTTTTACTCCCTATATACTTGATTTAATTAATATTGAATTTTTTTTATTTTTAAGGCAAGTGCCTAGTCTCTAAGAGAGATAAAAAGGTCAGTGGTGTACTTGTTATTTGATATGTATGTAATTAATCCACAATAATAGAAATGTGTTTTCGTAAACATATCCTACAAATTCTGCAAGTTGATGTTTAATGAATGAACATACTAATCAGAACATAAGGAGGATGCCTCGAATTAAAATACTGACTGAATTTCCTAATTATCTAGTGAGGTCTAAATCGCAAAACAGTTTATAACATTGAATAAAAGATTTTACCCGATTCTATCCAGGCCTTTAATATGTCTTTTTAAATTGTTGCATTAGTAATGTATACACTATGTATCTGTGTATCAATGTCTGAATATATCATTCTTTGAAATGCTTACACATACTCACATATCTTTAGTGAATAATGAAATTCAAAAGTAACTTGACAAAAAGTATCAGTCTTGCATAAATGCAGCAAAGAATTTAATCCAACAAGAAAAATATGTGCATTCTTTGATAAGCTGCCAAAATATTCTCCTAAGGAAAGGTAGATATAATTAAAGAAGTCACAGATCGAAAGAAAGTCAAGTTTCACATTGTGGAAGAAATATCCCAGTCCAAGTCCAGGTCCAGATCCAAGCCGGGAGAAAGGCACTGGAAAGAAAATGGAGGCTGATTGGAAAGAAAGGTTCCCTTTATTGATCAAGCAGAACCACCAACCACATGTGATTCGGGGCCAGCCGACCAAATAGAGTTGAGAGTGGGTGGGTTTTTATGCCTTCTGGATTCCTATGGGGTCATGTAGCTGGTCATGGCTGGCTCTATAGGCAAAAGGGGAAATGCAAATCCTAGGTCCGTGATGGCGAACCTATGGCACACGGAGCCATATCGGTGGACACGCGAGGTCAGCTCTGGTGTACATGTGCATGCCGGCCAACCAATTTTCGGGCCTTCTGGGCCCACCAGATGTAGGGAAACAGGCCGTTTCCGCTTCCAGAGGCCTCTGGAGCCTAGGGAGGGCGAAAAACGGGCCTACCGGGCCCACTGTGCCATCACGTGCCAAAAGCGGGGGGAATGTGGATGGATCACGCACGCATGTTTGGGGGGGCGCATAGAATTATGGGTGTGGGCAGGTGCGCGCGCAACCCCCCGCACTCCCCCCACTTTTGGCACACGATGGCAAAAAGGTTAGCCATCACTGTCCTAGGTATTTGTCTGAGCTAATTCTGTCAACCTTTTGTTGTTGCTTATCCGAGTTTCTGTCTTGACCCAGTCTTTATGAATGGATTACCAAACCTGCATTTCTAAAAGCTGGCCTCTTCAGTTTCTGTTTGGGGCAGGGAAACTGGGACTGGTTTCTGCCTCGCATAAGATTTTCCTCATTTCTTATTTAGGGAAATATTCTATCCTGCCTTTTTAAATATTTCCCAAAATATTCCTCCTTCTAGGAGTGGGGAGTGGCTTCCTACAACATCTATTAGTATATTTTTTTGGTAAGATGGAAGGTTTATTATTTATTTATTTATTTTATTTATTTATTAGTTTGATTTATATGCCACCCTTCTCCAGAGACTCAGGGCGGCTTACAATGCTTTTAAGCAATAGCCTTCATACTTTTGTATATACCTGCTTAGTAGGGCTTTTTGGCCCCCACAAACCGGGTCCTCATACAAAGTCAGCTTATTGCCCCCACAAACCGGGTCCTCATTTTACCTACCTCGAAAGGATGGAAGGCTGAGTCAACCTTGAGCCTGGTGAGAATTGAACTCGCAGTAATTGCAGGCAGCTGGCAGCTAAATACTACTTTAACAGTAGTTTAGTTCACTGCGCCACCAGGCTCTTCAGATATTACAACTATCTCATTAGATTTTTAATGCATCAACTAAATTCTGAGATTAAAAAGCATGTAATTAGTGCTTGCCTAATCGGTACTATCATTTAACATACCAAAAGTATGTCAAAATCTCAAAAGTATTTTGCGGAAATGGCTTATTCTTTAAACATTTCTAAATTTTTATTATGCGGGTCTTGTATATTCAGAACAAGTTAATGTTCTGAATATTTTTCTAACCATATGTTTAAGATTGTAACAAAGTAATATGGGCGTAGTGATTAAGGCACCAAGCTTGAAAGTGGGAGAGCATGAATTCCTGCCTTAGGCATAGAGCCAGTTGGGTGACTTTGGGCCCATCATTCTTCTCAGGCAATGGCAGATCACTTCTGAAATCTTAACAAGAAAACTGCAGGGACTTGTCAAGGCAGTCACAAAGAATCAACACCAAATGAAATACACAAAAGAAAAATTTAAATATCACTGGAGTTTGTTTTTTAAAAAAACTACATTGGGATGATAGCTTTAAAATATGGTTCTCAGTAAATAAAGAAAATATGCAAAATCTCCAGCTGCACACTAATTTTTAGTAGAAGCAGAATAGTGAATTCAAATAAACTTTGATCTAAAATCTCAATTGATTCTTTGCTATCTCTGAAACAAGGCTAGCTTATCTAGTGGTTCCACCAAACTAAACAACCTTTGAGGTCTTGTCTACTACTATCTTATTATTATTTGCTGAGCAACCCAACCTTTGCACCAATTTGTAAAATTTTGCAAAACTTCCTAAACTTTTCATATAAAGGCTTCACAGGTTTGCACAATGTCAAATTATAAGGCATGATTACAAATCATAATGGCTAGATCATGTTCTGACTTAGCAGGGTGTATGAACCAGGCCAATTCAAGACATAATATGGGCGGTATGTTTTGGCTGCCTGTGTTATGTGACCACAACAATGGTTTATTAGCCTGGTTTAGAGCTTGAAGTGTTATATGAACACAGCCTATGTGTTCACCTGCAAGTAGCAGCAAGAAATAAAACACCCAACTCCATTTAGAAATGGACTTGGAAATCTGGGTGAGAAGTAGAATTCTGTAACATTTTGCAATGAAGTGCTCCAATTCTGAATGCTGGTAAACTCTCCAGCAATCCTGATGTATAATCTGAGAACAAATCCAATGTTCGGTTTTCCTGTAACAGTTGTGGGTTTCTCCTTTCTTTCCCCAAACATCTTGGGGATGGTCTCATTCTAACTGAAGAAAACAACAGAAGATGTAGGTAGGATATCTCCTAAATTGTTTTCGGCAAAGGTAGCAATCAAATTTTCTTGAGTCAAGCGAAACTATAAAGTTTACACTGAACGATATGCAGGACGGAATGTATGGCCCTCAGTGTGGAAGGAATTGCCACTCTCAAATTGGCCTCTTTAGTCACACCAGATGCTGTTTTAGGACCTCTTTCCAGAGCATGATACCATAGTCTTTTGAGACTGAAGGTTGGTAATGCAATGCAATGCAGGACTTCACTATAATTTGCTAATTGTACTGCTTCTGATCCTTCATTACTTTAAAAAAAAAAATACTGGCTGATGCAATCCTGGGCAGTGGCAACCTCCCAATTAGCCCTATTCCCTCTCGACCGGAGGCGGGGCTACGTTTGACTAATCGCAAACTGTCAAAGGATGTCTAGATTACCCGGATGGTGATGGAAGCCCCACCCACCTCACTGCTTCTCTTCTTGAAACTGTAAGAGGCTACACTTTTTTCCTCCTCGCCACGAAATGGGCGCCTGCGCGTTCGCTCCCTCCTGAAAAGGGTCTTCCGCCCTCAGCCTTAACTGCTCTTTCCCTTTTCCAACCGCCGCCATTTTATTCCTCTCGCGGAACGTGCCGTGAAAAGCCAAAAAGGGTCGCTGCCATTCGCTGAAAAAATGGCATGGCCCAGCTCGGGAAGAAGAGGCCTTTTCCCGCTTAGAAATCCCACAACTGTCACAGGCCGACAAAAGCGGCCTATTCATCTCGGGTGGAAGCGCTGAGGTAAGGAAGCACCCCACCCATGGAGCCCCTGAGGGAAGGAGAGCAGGCGGCCTCTCGCCTTAATGCTTGCCCGCCCTCGTTGCCGGCCCCTCAGCCCGACGCCCCGTTTTCACTGCTGCGGCTGTTGTCACAGCTGCTGCAGCGCCTCCTGCCCGGTCCTATCAGTCCCCTCTTCTGGCTGCCTTCCGAGGTCCACGCCACCGCGCCGGAGACTTCGGTGCCAGTGTGGGAGACGCCCGGCCTGCCTCCGATTTTGGCCGTTCAGCATCAGCTGCGCGTGGTCTCTACCTCCTACGTGCTGGGGGGCACCGACAAGAACAACTCCGTGGCCGGACCTCTGCGAGCTAAGTTTCCCGAGATCTTGCAGCCGTCCCCGTGGCAGCCGCATAAAGCCGTTCTCGACGAGCCAGACACCGATTGCGGCTACCACAGCTTGGAAGTCGAGGAGCAGCTGCGGGAGGCCTGGGCCCCAAAGGAGCGTGGTGGGGAAGCCCAAGAAGAGCGGGATCCCGCGAAGGCTTCTCAGTCTCTGGATAGAGACGGCGTTGAGCGGAAAGCGGCTGTGGAAGTTAGCTCCGAGGTAGAACCCGACCTGCCGGTGGTGGCCAGACCGGCCTGTCCTAACAAGTTGATCGATTACATTCTGGGGGGCGCCTGCAGCGGGGATGAGAGCGAGGAGGAGGACAACGATGAAGACGAGGAGGGGGAGGATTGGTATGAGGAAGAGGAGAAGGAAGACGACGACGATGATGGCTTTGACAGTGAAGGATCCCTTTCAGAGTCGGAAATAAGCCAAGATGGAGAAAGCAATGATCTGTGGAACTCTTTCTGTAGCCCCGATCCATACGACCCGTGGAATTTCACCGCAGCTATGCAGACTGCTGAGAATGTGGGAGAGGAAGGGTCTACAGGAGAGTCAAATGAAGGCGAGGTGGTAGAGGAATCTTCCTCATGGAGTGAAAGTTCTTGTGAGGAAGATGAATGGGAGTCTGGTAGCCTAGATGAATCTGAAAATTTGAAATTGTGGAATTCTTTCATTAATTTGGACGATCCTTATAACCCTTTCCATTTTAAGGCACAATTTCAGACTGCAGGAAAGAAAGGGAAAAGTGACTTGAAAGGATCGAAGGGTTTAAGCCTTAGCCCCTCTCAACGTAGTATCTTGCTTAGCTGTCAGCTTCACCTGTTTGATAATGGAGGCACTGAAAATTCGAGGTATGGCATCCTCTCTAGGGAAAAGTGTAAGAAGAAGAAAAAGGTATGATTACTTTTTACTTGTATATTGTTAACGTTGGGAGAGATTCTTTCAATAGTGCATTCTGGGATATGCAAAAATCTGGGATAACCTTTGCAAAAGATAAGCGTATGGTTTAAGTAATGGATTGAACTTTTAATGAAAGTGCATTATCCCAGCTCCTAGTAAATTGCTTCATTGTTTTCAGATTATAAAGCCCTTTTTTTGAGAGAGAGATTTGGCCTCAGGGATCCAAGATGTAATAGCTAAAGTTCTGTTTGCTAATACAACAAAATAATAATTAAAAAAGCATTTAAAAATTTCAAGTATTTTGAGATCTTTCTTAAAGAAAAATTAGACTCCCCCTTTCATATGCTCTTAAGAATACTTGTATTTTAATTACTTTATTTTGTTGATTTAATTAAAAATCAACAAATGGGGCATTTCATGCAAAAAAAGCCAGGCTCTTTGATTTAAATGGGGATTCTCTCATACTATGTACAAATTTTCTAGAACAAAATCACAATTCAGCTGCTTTGCTTTTTCTGAGGCCATATTAAAAGATCTCTTCCCTCCTTCCTCCAGCTGATGTGTTATGGAGGTGGTACCATCTAGTGCAAGTTTGTATGTTTTTTTGCAGCTGCCTGCTCTTGATAACTTGTAACTCCATTTGGTAAAGCAGTGATCAGATAATATAGTGCTTAAAGTACTTCTGTGTGGTTGAACACATGAAATTCCCTAGGATGACTTTCAAATTTTTCAAAAGAGCATTTAATTATATTATTTAGTCATACTTGAAATAGAATATTCTGCAAAAGTCATTGTGGTAAATTGCTCTTAGATTGACAAAATGGAATTAATGTTTTTTATCTGATATATAATTTTAGTCTTGAAAATTAATGTTCATTGCAGTGTTTCTTTTTATAAAGAAAAATAACAGCATATGTAACATGATTTTAACATAAGGGATCTACTTTTTATTAAGACAGTTATAATCTCTTAACCCTCAAGAAATACAAATCGCACCTCAACTCCAGTTTTGTAACCTAAAGTAGGGTTAGAAATGGTGATTGGTCAAAGAGCATCCAGTGAGCTTTATGTCTGATGTCAGCGTTAAATATGTTTTTATATACAGACACATTAACTGGACATGCTTATCCAGTTGTAGACATTCTGGTGTCTGCCACATATTTTGAACTATGACTACTATATGCTCTAGTTGACATGACAGCTGTTGGGAATATCCTGAATTATCCAAAACATGTTATTTTTGCTTTAACCACTAGTTTGCACTAGCTTTTATGAAGCAGTATAGTGGAGTACTGTAAAAAAAATGAAGTTAATGATTTACTGCTTATAATTTAAATATATATGGCCCATTGATGGTGCACTTCTAGAACTCTTTGTTCCCCTTGGTTGATAGATTAATCTTATGATTTTTATCCTATTCTAATGATAATTTAGCATTTTTGCCATTTTAGTTTTGCCTTCTGTATTAAATAATACAGCTTGTATCTACCATAATTTATATTGTCTAGAACTAGAAGGAATAAAGATGTCATAAAATAACATGTTTTCAGAAATTCCTAAAGATGTAAAATTGTGTATTTTAGATTATTCTTCCCTGTAAATCATTTGGTGACTACTTTCAAAACAAATTTCAAGTCCCTTGTGTATCTTTCTAGTGACAAGAAAATTAATGAAGATCTGTATGCAATATATAGCATAATATTACATGACCTGGTAATGGTACCCTAGAGAAAATTGTAGCATGATGTAAAAGGCAAGAAAGGATAAGGCACAGAGGGAGAAGCTGATGTAACTTATCATTTTGTATGAAGGTACTATCTTGGAAGTGGAATGATTTTATGCATAACCCTAGTGCTACATTAAAATGCCAAGTAATATAGGACAAATTGTTTTAGGACCACTTAAATACAAGCTTTTGACCGGTTTACAAAAGAAGAAGTGAGAAAGATTGTTAAGCAAAGTAAAGTAGGTAAAGGTAAAATTGTGTTCTGTTAATGAGGAAAGGGAGAGGAATTACGATAATTCTTGGTTAGATTTTTGCTGTTTTAACATTTTGATGGACCAGTACTTTAATATACTTTGTCCTGATTCCTTAAATGGCTTAATTGCAATAAACTTTAATTGCTATAAACTGAGGGTTCTTTTTACAAACAAATGTCATATATAACTCTAGTGCTTTTATAAATCATTTGAGCTTAACATGGAAGAAGCAACAAATCAGGTCAAGTCATAAGTTAATTTAGGAACAATAGCAATAGACCACAGAACACAGCCTACTTCTTGGCAAGATAGAACAGTATCACCACCAGATGGATTTATAATTGGCTGGTCAACGGCACTCGGCATGTAGCCCTTAATTGGAACTACATCTACATGTAGAGAAGCATGCAGTGGGGTACCTCAGGGTTCTTTCTTGGTCTCAGTGCTCTTCAGCATCTTCATAAATGATATAGATGAGGGGATTAAAGGGGATCTCATCAAACTTGCAGATGACACCAAGCTGGAGGGAATTGCTAATGTTTTGAAAAGATAGAATCAAGATTCAAAAGGATCTTGACAAACAAGAAAAATGGGCCTTTCCAATAAGATGCAGTTCAGTGGTGAGAAAAGTAAGATCCTGCACTTAAGCAGAAAAAACTAAATACCGTATAGAATAGATAGTATCTGGCTCAATAGCAGTAACTGTGAGATGGATCTAGGTTTAAGTGTGCTACAGTTGCCAAAAAAGCCAATGCAGTTCAAGGCTGCCTTAACACAGGAATAGCATCAAGATCATCAGAATAGTGCTACTTTATACCACACTAGTGTGGACTTGGAATACTGCATCCAGTTGTGATCATCAAGATACAAAAAAAAAATGCTGGGACCCTAGAAAGATGGTCCAGAGAAGAGCAACAAAGATGATAAGAGGTCTGGAGGCTAGACCATAAGATGAACAGTTGTGGGAACTATATTTAGGCTAGCAAAGAGAAGGTGACACGATACCTTTCTTCCAGTACTTGAGGGACAATCATAGAAATGAGGGAGTTGACATATTCTCCTGAGGACAGGACAAGAAGCAACATGTGGAAACTTGTTAAAGAGAGAACCTACCTGGAACTAAGAAATTTCCCAACAGTGGGAGCAATTAAGTATTAGAACAGCCTGCCTCCCAGAGTTGTGAGAACTCTTTTGCTGGAGGTTTTCAAGAAAAGAGTGGACATTTATTTGTCCAGGATGGCATAAGGACTTTCTGCCTTGGGCAGGGAGTTGCACCAGGGTCCCTTCCAGCCCTATGATTCATAGTTGAGAAAAATTCATAGCATATCAGAGTATACATCCAAACACAGCCTATTTTTTTATGTGAAAAGTTTCTGTGTAGCAGATAACTTTAATAAATAACTTAGCAAGAAAGTAGTAACATCATGTAAATATTAGATTGTACCACAGCATAAACACCAAATTAAATATATATTTTATACAAGAATCTCTTCCACAATGGCATAGTAGAATTAAAAAATGCATTATTTTCTTCTCCCAAATGATGAATGATATTTTAAGTTTTTGTTTTAATATCAAATATATTATAAAACAACATCACGTAAATGTCTGCTAATTTGATATAACTTTATACTTTATATAGGTGACTTTTCTTGAAGAAGTTACTGAGTATTATGTAAGCATTGAGGAAGATCGCAAGGGACCTTGGGAAGAGCTTGCACGTGATGGATGCCGATTCCATAAACGAATTCAAGAGACTGAAGATGCTATTGGATATTGCTTAACAGTAGAACACAGGCAGCGAATCCGTAATAGATTCCAGGAAATGTGTTTTGAAAGATCTGATATTTTTTAAACCCTTGTTCATTATCCAGGGTAATATTTTTAATGATATTTATCAGCATCTTTCAAGAAAGCTGCCTCTAATAGTATAAAACTCAGAATTGGAGTAATTGTAAAACTCTTTCTCAATTCTTTGCCAACAAATATGGTATAAAAGCTGGATGCAGTGTTGAAACAAGTCTTTTGAACATCCAGTGTGTGCATAAGTGGTCCTTTCTAATGATAGTTTATTTTTGCAAAAGCCAATCCAGACATGCCTCCTTGTGCATTTGTGTGTGTGTTCTGTCTCGTTCACATATATGTAAAGAAAGAAATGTGTCAAATTTTGCACTTTTGAAAAGGGAATATTTTCAAGTATATTTATTGCGTTTGGAACCTAACAATGCAGTTCTGATTTAAAGTTTGTAAATTGCACCCTGTACTTGTATATACCAGAAAATTGTAATAATCTTATATTTCCTATAATTGAAATGAGTTTATACAACAATACTGTCTGCTCCTCATTGGTTTTTTTCTTACATATTTTATTTTAACAAAACTCTTCTGCATAAAAGTATCTCTTACACTTTTAGAGATTATTATTTGGTTGGAATACAATGCTGTATATTTACAATAAAATTGCAAACAGTATTGGACTGCTAATGATAGGAACCACCAATTAAGGTAGTTAATAACACATTCTTCCTCATTTTTAGCATTATACCAGTCTAATGGATACAGCCGCTGTGGAGAGATCACCAAAATTCTGCAGCAGTTTGCTTTATTATTTCAGAAGAAATCTCCTCTCAGTAAACATTATAGTAAAGAAAATACAAAATACACTGATTTGATTGCAGTCTCCTCTAGAAATTTCAAATTTACAGGAAAAAATAACATTCTATATTTGTAATGCTGATTGGTTACAAAGCTTACCAAAATAATCAGTATATTCTTACAGCAATTTAATCATTTCTAAGGATAGTTCTAGAAATATTTTAATGCAGTAATTATTCTTAATCATTAATGTTATTTAGTCAGAATACATGTTTGAATTATTGTATGCTTTTCAAATAGCTGCTATAAATCCAGTATTCAGAATTATTGGGATAAATACATTGGTTTAAGTTATTCATTAGTTTTAGGTATACTTTTCTAGAAGGAAGGAAGGCATACCAGTAATATCCATTGCTGCAATATGTATTTAACACAAATAATAAGAAATCACTTTACTTTTTTCTATCTTATGTTTTACTGACCTCATGTTTATATAATTGTTTGTTATAATGACAAGCACTCTGTGGTTTAGTCCAGGTAAATTCTAATAAAATAAATAGTCCTTAAAAAAACATTTTTGATATCACACAAAAGTATGTTTTGATATGTAATAATCTTGATGATTTATATATAGAATACTTGATGTATATCTGAAAAAGATCCCCGTGAAGCGCTGCTATAAAATTTCATTGTACTGAGGCATTTCCAATTTAGTTGCACATTTGTGTATTTGGAACTTAGTTTCTGTATAACATGCATCAGATAAAGCCACAGAGGATAGAACCTTTTTCTATCTTGATACTGTTTTAAGTATTGTCTTTTTTTGGTCAGTTATTGACTACTGGAAGGAATGATGATACTGTTTCTCAGTCTGAAGCCATTTAAAATGAGTGCAGATTCCTGAAATAAAATCATGGCTTTTTTTTCCTGTGTAGAATGATTTAATGGTGCTACAATGAAGGATGTCTTTATAAATTTATTTAAGTAACAGGGCATGAAAAACTAATTCTAAAACTTTAAATCAAAACTATCAGAATTTTATTTTTGTATCATTTTAGAAAGGTGAACAAGAGACGGAAAACTTTTTGTTTATACAGGCTTAAAAGATTTGATTGTATCATTATGTTTTATATTTAAATATATATTTCTGTATATAATAAAACACTTTAAAACTAATCTATAGATTGTAATAAACTTTAAAATGTCCAGAAATTTATGCAGCTATGATACTGGGGTGTAGCTCTTAAAATAGCCCGGAGCACGGAAATGCTTTTATAATTTGACTTTATTAAATACTTGGAATTGCTAGGTATTGTTAAATACACAAGGATGATACTAAATCAGATGTTATATGGAATTTGCTTTATTCAAGGTTGTCTTAAAAGGGTGCTAGAATGAATTTCTCATCCTCTTGGATCTATTCCTAGTGTCTGCTCATAAACTGACAGAAGAGTTTACAACGGCAGGAAAAATACAATAGAAGTTCAAAATATTTAGAATTAAAAACATTGGCAACAATGATACTTGATTCAGTTCATAAATTGGATTCCTTCAGGAATCCTCCAAATAGCTTTCTGACAGTACTCTTCTGTTTTGATGAATCAAAATTATTACAGTAAATGTAAATGATGACATTTAAATGATGACACTGCCATATTAATGTTATGTAGAATTCTTTTCCTTGTTATGCTCTGCAGTCTCAATATACTTATCTTTCCATAATAATTGCCCAGAAGTAACTCGTTAACAACTTAATAGCAAAAAAAGGATCAGAGTTGACAGTACAAGATATTCATAAAATAGGCAGGTACAAATGGAGTTAAATCAATTTTGCTCAGTTATTTTTCTCCAGTCCTGAATTTGATCCATGGGATCAAAATATGTATTTTTTCATTTATCTGTGTATCAACACTTAATTTAAAATTTGTGGAATATTGAAAAAGTCAATGGAATTGCAGGACAAAAATAAATCTTGAAAAAAGTTTTAACAAATCACCCTTGAACACTTACATCATCAGAAGAATATGACCCCAAACATCAGGAAAGCTTCCTTGACTCATCAGGAAGCTGGGCAAAGGGAGTAAATTTGATAGCCATTTCCCCCACCCTTTTGGAATTCTTACCTCTATTCTCAGATAATTAGCAATGGGAAATTAATGCCTGTATTTACATTCATTGGAGAGGAAGGGATTACAAAAGAGTAAGATTGGGAATACACATTGAAAGGAATATCTTGGTGCCTGCCATTTGCTTAGGGGGCTGGTGGCTGCAAGGCAGGAGCCACTTCATATAGCACAAGGAAGTTCTTAGGACAAAAGCGATGAATGTCTTGCCAATTTCACATAGCAGCACAAATCAATCCAGGGTATTCTTGGGGGAGAAGAACAATCTGGGGAGAAAGCTTGTTTAAGCAATCTTTCTGCTTTGGGGGGGGGATTCTTCGGACGGAGAAGGAAAATGGGACAGACAGTTGAACTCAGGACATACAAATTTCTCAATGTATAACTGCAATATGAATTACAAAATTTGGAAAAAAAAATGCAATTGTCAGTGGTTTATTACTTTAAGAATCATCAAGTACAAATGAAATGCATTGTAGATCTAATTTTCCAGTCTTTAATTTAGAAATAATTATTTGGTTCCTTCGACATTAGTCAAAGAAGGAATTTGTAATCTACAAAATTACCGTATTTTTCGGAGTATAAGACGCACCAGACTATAAGACGCACCTACCTTTTTTGTTTTGTTTTTTTAAAAAAATGTTTTATTTTTTTAGATAAACACATACAAACATACAATGTATTTTCTTTGAACAGAGAATTTGGCCTATTCACAAATTTAAACAGTGTTTAGTCATTTCAATTAAATTTACAATTTCTATATTTCCTTCTTGCCATCTATTTTTTTAAAAAAAAAAATAATACCCTTCATCCTCATCTCTAATCTTAATCAAATTCAATTTTTCCCTTCTATATTATACCCCTTCCGATTGTCATCTATTTTTATATCCATCCTCACATTGGTTAATTATGTAATATTACAATTGTTTAATACAAATTCAACATTTTAATATAAATCAATTAGTTATATAACTATCTTTTTTTATATATTAATCAATATGAACATGAATATTCCAATTATTTCCATGCAATCCAATTTCTTACAAATCAATTATATTTACCAATAATAAACCAAATAATTTTTCCCATATATTCATCCAAACCACAACTTAACCATTTCTGCTTTCAATACAATATACAATTAATAGTATCTCAATTATTACAATTCCCTAGTTAAATAGAGCTTTCCCCTTATGTTGCTAATTTTCACATCTTAAACTCTCCCAATAACCCAAATAGTTTTGCCCATATAATCCTCCAAATCACAACTTAATTATTTCTACTTTCATCACAATATATAATTAAAAATATTTCAATCGTTACAATTTCCCTAATTAAATTTTAAAATGTTCTAGCTGTTATCCAAGCTACAACTTAATCCTTTTTACTTTCACCACCATATACCATTAAAGGTATTTCAATTGTTACGGTTTATACTTATTCATATTTCTAAAAAAAATAAAAGAAAAACTTATCATTGCGGGGTACATTCGGTGTATAAGATGCACCTAAATTTTCACCCCCTTTTGGGGGGGGGGGAAGGTGTGTCTTATATTCCGAAAATACGGCTGTACAAATATATATGATTCTGTTCAATTATAGACGACATTACAGATTGTTTTCAAACGTGAATTAAGTTCTAATGTTCTTTGTAGCAAATGTGTGGCTTGAATATGTGGTATAAAAGTGTCAGTACAGTAGTGTGTCACATAACAGCAGTTTCAGACGGCTTTATCCCTTCTATATCAGCCATAATTATAGGGTAAAAACCTGGGTGTAAAACTGCAGTTGTTTTAAGATATGTTCTGCATTCAGCAACAAATTTCTTACTTGATGCTGTTGTGCAAATGCAAAATACACATGTTTCTAATACCTGGTCAAACACTATGCTTGTGTTATCCTATCTTCATATCGGGGTTGAAATGAGGGATCCTTGATGCTCTTTCAGCACTGATGATGTTACCTAGTTTGGGTAATGAAACCTCTGCAAGAAAACAAGCTTAGAGAGCACCAAGGTCCCCCACCACCACTGTTTTATCATCCCCCCCACCAATAAAACAACATAGCAAAACATATTCAGATGTTTCATTTTAATACAGTTGAATTACTTCCAGAGGCTTGAAAATCCCTATTTTTCACATGGGCTGTTTTACATTTGTTAGTGTACAGTTGGCTTTCTTTCACCAATTGCTAAAAGTTCAATCCTTAGGGTAAAATTAAACCTTGCTTTTTCTGTGGAAGATAAGGGAGGAATATAGAAGAAACAAGCGGGAGGGAAGGGGTAAGCCACATCCCAACAGGAATGCAAATTCTGAATTAGTGTGATTTAGGGAAGGTTTAATTAAAGCTTTGTTTAAATGTACAATAAAGTGGTTATGTAAGAAGGTTAATAACATTAACAGTAATATGGGAAAATAGATAACTCTGAATGTTGGGTGTTCATCTGCCAATTCAGTTTGCATTCCCTTCTAAATCGATGCATTACTTTATTTCTGACATTTCTGACATTTCTGAATGAAACCATATTTTTTTTAGTTCAATTGACACAGATTATAAAATCAAAATGGTAGAAAAATTGCAGAAATTATGCACACCCAATAAGGTTTGCCTTATTTTTAAAAAAATGATTTTGACAACACTTCAGTTTTAGATTCCAAGAATAATGTTTAAGATTGGTATTTGTGCATTTGTTCATGAGAGAAAAAGATTAGTATAACCCTACAGAAGTGATGGCTAACCTTTTCCGGACTGAGTGACCAAAGTGTGTGTGCGCAAATTCACATGCGTGTGCCCAACCCCCCCAAATGCAACGCACATGCGGCACAGCCTGCGAATGTGTGTGCTCCCCCACCCCCTGTGCTTGTGTGTGCGGCCCCCACATGTGCCACGTGCATGCGCATGCCCCCCACATGCGCCCCACCTCTACACATGTGTAGCAGAGACCCGAAGGCTGGCGGGAGGTGTGCACACATGCACAGTGGAGTTGAACTGGGGCGACAGCTCGCAAGCCATCAGAGAGGGCACTGCGTGCCACCTCTGGCACGAATGCCATAGGTTTGCCATCACAACCCTACAGTATTTTTTTCTGAAAGGTTGTTGCCTTCCAGGAGAGGACTGGAGGTTGTTGGCCTCCCAAGCCCAACAACAGCTGAAAAGCCAGTTCAGCAGTACTGTCATATTTTGAAATTAGTGTATCAACAGCTATAGCAACTCTAATACTTTGCAGTGAAGGGGTAGTGGTTGGGATCCTCCCTGAGCCCCAATATTCCAGACAAGCTGACTAAAAGAGCAAGCAAATCCATTCTGTCCCATTTTCCTACAAAAATTGACACGATTCTTCATAAAAGAATGACACTGAAAACTGATATCTTTTGATAATGGGCAGGAATGTGTTAGAATCTTAATAGCAGTTTCTGTCTTTGATTTATCATTCCATAGAAACACCATAAACCTGCATTGATTTCTTTAAAAAAATCTAAGAAATTAATCCTGCATTCCAGAGTGGTACTGTCAACCCTGAACCTGACCTGACTAAAGCCATTTTGAAACTTTAGTGTTGCCACACAGGAGCTGAGGGATAGGGAGTGGGGTATAGAGATAGCTTGGGTTTTGTAGCCAAAACAAAATACTTTCTCCTGGGAACCAAGGACATTCTCACACCTGGTCAGAGAGAGAGAGAGAGAGAGAGGAGGAGTAACATTACCAGGCAATCAGACAGCACCTTGATTGGACCATGTGACTGATTGGGGAAGGAGAAAAACTTTTAATTAGGTGAAAACCGCGGGAATCTTCAGAGTCGGTTTTCACCAGAACTCTGCCAATATGATATATCCAATAAAACTTCTTTGAGGAATCTACCTGCCTTGGAGTTTTGTTTGCTATGGGTGTATTACTTGGAACCCTGATAGGTACTGCTAAATGAGCTGTGCTGATTACTAGTATGTTTTTGAGAGTAATTCCAAGTCCTGTTCTCTATGGTTTTCGACCTGAGTTTGTAGGGGACTGAGTTTTCTCAATACTATCTGCCTGGTTTACTTAGACAACTATGGAGTGCTTGCTAAGGGTTCCCAACTACCAAGGATGCGGTGTGAAAGGGCCAATGACAGTCATTTTCTTGGTTGATTGCTCATTGCAGTGGAGTAGTTCCACCCTTATGGGCTTCCAGAAGAGGGTGAAAACATGGCTCTTCTAGACATTAATTGCATTCTGGCTTTACACTATTTTTATTGTGTAAATTTGATATGCTGCCTAGAATTTGGTTTCTGGCTGTCAAACTTCATAAGTAATAAACTATGTATGGTATCCATATATCATGTAAATACAGGCTATGTCATTAAGGTACTCAAAATATGTTCTTACCCTTTACTAACCTGAGTCCAAAAACATGCCTCCAAATGCTTAAAATTTCCAAGCTCTCCCGGAAGCTAAAATTTGACAGTGTTATAGTTTAAGGTGTCCTTAACGGGGGGTTTATCTGTTTCATCAGGGAATATCCCAAAGGTGCTTTTCCAAAGGCAAGTGGACTTTTTTTGTTTTTTCTTGAAGACATTTCGCTTCTCATCTAAGAAGCTTCTTCAGTTCTGAGAGAATGGTGGAGAATGGAAGGACATTCTCCGTTCTCATCTTATTGTGAGAAATAAAGGCCACACTCCCAAATGGCTGTATCTGCAGACATTCAAGGGAGGTTGTAGATCAATCTAACCTGGGTGGGACCAACTACAAGGGAAGTTGTAGATCAATCTAACAAGGGTGGGACCAGCTTCAAGATATTTCTCACTTAATTTTCTTTTTGCTGTATCTTCTGCGTGCCAAATACTTCTTCCACTATTAAAGTTATCTTTTGCTATGCAAGCTAGATTACCTGAAGGTGTAGCAATTTTATTTAGCAATCAATTACTTGGCATTTTAAAATAAAGCTCAACACTCTGTACCATTGCAGTTTTACATTTTATTAGCAGTACTTGTTTTTGCACAGAAAACATTTGAGAGATTGACTGTCGTGAATATTCTAAAACAAAATCTTCCTTTCCACAATATGACAATAGCACAATTTGATGAGTTTTGTTAGAAAATGGGAAGGCTGTATATTTTGTTTTAAAACAGTTGCTTTTATTTGAAATCCACCTATGTGGCTGCAAAAAATGAAAGAAAAAACAGTGAAATGATAAATAACATTATGAGTGTTCTACATACTTTTTCAGTAACTTGTTGAGTGGCAATTGACCATTAAAGAAATAGATGGCAGAATTCCACCTCTTCCAATAATACAAATCAGTCTTTATGAACAGAATACCCAGACAGGTTCACCCAAGTTGTTATGCCACAAGGAGGTTTGATTTTGCCTAATCTGTGAAATTTACAATTGTGATTTGTAAACTACAACATCTGTGGTTTCAGGACAGGTCATTCAGCCTTTCTTTTGTAATCTGAACTTTAGGATATACATGTTAAGGAAAAATTGAATCACAGTTTGAAATATCTATGAAACAGGGGCTAGAGCCACACAGTAATGAATTTGTTTTTTTTCTTCTTAGTGCATTATGCATTCATAATGTCTTTGTTTTTTCTTAGTGAATTATGAAGCCAGCATTATGGTTTGTAAATAATGGTTTATGATATAGATTGCTATGCAAAATTAATTTAATAAAACATAAATAAATAAATGCCTCGTTGAATATTGGTCCTTCCTTCTTATGCTCCACTCTTCTAAGCTTTCCAGCAAACTTAATGCTAGGATGCAACCCAACAGTTTCAAGAGGTGTCTTCTGATGCAGCTTTTTCCTTCTATGTTGGTATATTGTCCCCAGTTGTTTTCTATTGAAATTCACATTATCTTTATTGTTATTTACTAAACAAAAATCTCTTCCTGCAAGAGTTTTGAACCAGCTGAGGCAAATAAATGACAAGTTCGCAATGAGCAGTTTGCTAGAGAAAATGAAATAATGAAATTCAACATACCCATGATATTCAAAAGAGGTACCAGAAACTCAATTCAGCAATTTCTTTTCAGGCAAAAGACAATGAACAAAGAAAAGTACAGACTTTAGTTTAAAATAATCTTTACAGGTTTGTCTCTCAGCTGAGAAAATGCTTCTAGCACAGAGCTGTTTGGGCTTCAGTTTGTTTTGTCTTCAGGCCACCCTGCCTTCAGATGCTTTATCCACAGTACTTAATCTCCCATCACTTGCCAAGGAAAAAAAATTAACTCCTTAATAGCTGAAAGTTCCCACTATGAAACTAAACATTGTATACTGTGTGATCCCGGTTTCAATGCCCAGCTACGCCCAGCCTTATTGAGCTAACGCTCAATTTCTGGCCTCTGCTTTCAGCATTTCTATCTCTGGATCATCATATGCTTCCTGAAGAAACAAGACTCCATTCCTAATCTTCCAAAAATAATCCAGCAACTTTGGAGCTGGAAATGTGGTACATCAATGTTTCATACAATATTGCTACTACAATTTTCATTGTAATTGTTTCAGGCTGGTATCTTTACATCTGTTATTTTTCAGTACTAATGTTATGGCCCGCTAACTGCCAGCAGAACTGGCAGCAGATTCAGATGATGAGGAACTTGGGGAGGAACTTGGGCCAGTCCTGGAGTCTGGCGAAGGCCCTGATGGATGCTCTGTGTCGGAAGCAGAGATAGAGCTAGGGCCGTCCGACATTTCCCAGCTGCCTTCAGAGTCAGAGATAAGTTGGGAAGAAGAACAGCTGGGGCCTGTTCCAGATGTGTGTATGCACAGAACTGTCAGGAGAGGAAAACAACTGAGGAACAGGGGCCGACTTGGGAAGAAAGGCACACGTGGACGCTGAATGGCCCCTCCCTGGCTGGGGAATAAATAGAAGGAAAAGGGGAGTGGTGGTTGCAGGAGACAACAGTTCGTATTTCTTTCGGAAGGTTTACTTATCGTGGTTCATACCTCAGAGTCTTCTTGCCAGGAATTAATTTACAGCTTTGTGACTGGAAGCTCTCAGCCCGGCAATTATCCAAAGATTGATAAGGTCTGTTATTGCAATTAATCCTTGGAAGGATTATTGCCTGGACTTTTCTGTGTGTGAATGCCATGAATTCACAGTAGTTAAATAAAGAGGGTTTTTTCAGGACAAGGAGTCTGTTTCTTGGTTCTGCTAAGGTTGGGTCAGAACAACTAACATGTTTCTACTAGGAAACAGAAAATTAACATTATTAGTCCATTATTGTATGTTTTAGTAAAAACATGCTATTCAGATTTTGCATGATAAACTGATACTTATTTACAATCAGCTGCAGTAGGACTCAATAGGGACTGAGATGAAGATCTAAAGCTAGAACTTAGCCTATAGTAATCCACTTGAACAGTGCTCCCTCAGAATTTATACACAGGGATTCATTTACTTGTGCACCTTTCAATGTAGTATAGTATCCCCAATCACTTATGCATGAGAAATACCATGAGTTGGAGGAAGGAAGAAATGGGGAAGAATGAAGGAAGAGGAAAAAAGGGAGGAAAGAAAGGAATGGAAGGACTGGGCAAGAAAGTAAAAAAGAGGAGGAAAGGGGAGAAAGAAAGGGGAAAGATCTAAAAATTAGAACCAGCAACAACCAAAGCCAACAACCAAATAAATCATATGAAACAAAATGATGTGTGAACCTGTTCTGAAGCATGAAAAGTAACTTGATAAGGTTTATAGCAGAAAAGAAAAAATAGGTAGTGTAGAAAAGTCATATGGAGGCATCCTTTGTTTAATGTTCTATTTATTGTACTTCATTTCCTGCTTAAATAATGAATTCGGCTAGTAATGAAATTGTTATTTCCACAACAATGTCTGGAGCAGTTGATAACATCTCAGCTATGATCCTGTCATTAGGTTCAAATTAAAACCCCAATCAAAGCTCATTCTTCATCTCATGTACTGGTATCTTACTGGACATAATTTCAATAGCCAGTAGTTTGCTCAATTAAAATAGAATATCTGAGGATTTGGGGGAATTCTTAATTAAAGGGAACTGAAATCTGGCTTGGTCATCTTTGCTTTGCGGGGCACAGACTGCTTTTCCTGAATTAAATATGACAAGTTGTCTTTTGCCCTTTTTCCCTTTACCAAGAATCATGGAAAGATATAATTGATGAACAAGCCTTTATGACCCTCAGCATAGAGGAATAAGCCTTAAACCCCACCTTTCCTAGTGAATAAGCTCTAATTAAGGACTAGAGTGAGCATGAAAGTAAAATACCTCCTTTCCTCAAGGTGAGAAATGTAGACACCGGGATGTAGTTAATAAGGAGAAAGAAGACCAGACAAAACTGCCTTTCTTCTCCCCCAGTTAAGTTGTGGCAATTAGACTGAATGGTAGGCAGCAGAGGAAGTAAATTGCATTCTGGAGACTCCTGCAGAATTTTTTTTTTTTTCTTTAGCAGCCGGAAGGGATTTCTCTGTCTGCCAGCTTTTAAATGAAAGATCGGCCACCAGACCTCAAAAGGGTTAACCAGGTGCTGTGGGTTTTTTTTTTCCCTTCCTCCTGGGCTATTTGCAGTGAAACAGTTTCTGAGGAAAGGCTGACCTACCTGCATTCTGGTAGGACTGGCTCAAGTGAGTTAAGTTTTACCTCTGTGCTCCCTTTCTGCTTAATGCAGGAAGAAGGGGCGAGCGGTGGGTGAAGATCAGCTGAGGAGAGAGACAGTCTCTCCCTCCCACTTTTTTGGTGGCATTTGCAGTGGAAGGGACTGATGGCCACTGGGGAGGACATTGAATGGCTTGATCTGCCTGGCAAGTGGACCTATGGAGTTTGCAGGGACGGGAGAATCTTCTTTATCAAGTAAGTTTGGTTTGTGCTTTGTTGTTGCTGTTTTCTGTAGTACTTCAGGCTATAAGGATGATTGTCTGAGCTGGATGTAACTCAACAAACTCTCATACATTTCTTTCAGTCCCTCTGCTTTTAGGTTGCTGGTAATAGGATACTATATGTAGAAATATTTTCTGAAAAACCAGGATCTCTTTCCAAAACAGAAGAACTAGATTTAAATCTAATGTGAGGCATGAAGCATCTAGGGAATCTTTATATATGACTTACTTAGAACTAAATTTGATGAACCTGTTTGTATGTGTAGATTTTGTTTTTGTTTATATAATCTGAAATAAAAATTTAATCTGATAATGGTTCTCTGTTTTTCTATCCTGCCTTGTTAGCATTTCTAAGGAAACCCTCCCTTTAAAAAAAAATAGTATTAGATTAGTTCTGAAAAGTTCTTATCTGGTTTGCTGAACCTGCTGTGTTATCTACCAAGCTAGTGTCAAATAGCCATAAACAATGCTATCCTACACATGGTTGAGTAGAAGTAAATTCCACTGAATTCCATGGGGCTTTGTCCCTGATTGGCTATAGGAATGTAACCTAAGAAGCTCAGTTGTGAATCAGGAAATTGCCATTTCAAATTTTGCTTCTGAGTCATGAAATGGCTTTATCATTTCTCCCCCTTCAGCTTCTATTCCCCACATCAGACTTAGAGGGCTGCAACCCTGCTAAATTTTCAAGTGTTATAACCATGTTAACTTTCTTACATCACTAAGAATATGGAAAATATCATGAGCATTTAAAAGCATTGTATAATGACAGAATTACAAAGTCTTACAATAGAGGGTGGTAGGATAAAGTATTCTAGTTTCTAATTTTGTCAGTTATGTCTTCCTTCCCCCCTTCCCCCAAATATTCTATTTGGCATTCTCTTCCAATTTTCTGTTCCCTAAGAGTTTGCTCAACAATCATTGGTTGGGTGTTTTTCTCCCCCTTAAATATACTGTTGGCAGCTCTTCAAACTTTGAGCATCCTTGGGTATAGATGGTCCTGTTTTTGCTACATAAAGATGTATGGAGAATTTGGAGAATGAGTTCTCTCTGCACGTATATATCTCTTCCCCTGTCGATAAAACTACAGGGCTGTGATGTAGGTTTTTGGGAAAAGTAGCAAGATTTAAAAGGGGATTATGATATATAGTTGGTATAACCTTTGTTCTGGTATCATACTTAGCGATAAGCCTACTGTGCTAAGATGGAGGGCAATTGTTCTTGATCTTTGAAATTGAAAATGGTGATGTTCCATACATTTTAAATAATTTGTTTGGACTTGCTTATAGTGATGAAACAAAATCTACTTGCTGGACTCATCCAGGCAGTGGCTATTCTATCCAGAGTGGGCACTTTTCCTGGCCAGGTAAGAAAAAACTTAGCCTTTTATTACCATGCATTCATTATAATAATAGCTGACATTTGCTACTGCACAGTTTTCCTCATTTGCTGTTCATAATAAAACATCTCTTGACTTGTTTCACTCTGGTGTCATACAGATGCATTGCTTCTCAGATTCCTTTTCCCCAGCTATGGGTGACTGGAGGACTAAGGAGAAGCTCCAGTTTCAGAAAAGCTGCTGTTGGCTAATGCTCTGGATGTGAACAGTATTCAAAACAATTTCCAAAACACATGTGTGAATGTCAGGCTGGATTGACCAATATTATTTTGGTGGATGCTAGGTTGTAATTCTATGTAACAAGGATCTATATATTTTTTCCCTCTGTTGATGGTCACCTCCTGCAAATATTATCTCTGGCAGGCCTCATCAGTTACCAGTGAATAGTGAAGAACACCAAGTGATGGGCAAGATCATCTATTCTGTCTGTTTCTTATATCCTCCTTTTTTTCCTTTTCACTCCATATTTTTCTCATTCCTTTTCCTTGCTTCCTCATCACAAGCCACCAAGGAAACAGATTTCTTTTGTTCAAAAGTTTGAAGTGATCACTAGAACAAAACTTTTGAAATTGGACTAGGACAAAAGTAACCCTAGTGCTCCAATGTGCATACTATTAACTATAAACTGAAGAATATGTACAGGTACTCCTCGACTTAGGACCACACTTGAGCCCAGATTTTATGTTGCTAAATGAGACAGCTGAGTGAATTTTGCCTCATTTTACAACATTTCTTTCTACAGATGTTAAAGTGAATCGCTGCAGTTGTTAAGTTAGTAACATGGTTGTTAATTGAATCTGGCTTCTCCATTGACTTTGCTTGTTAAAAGATCACAAGGAGGAGATCATAGGACCCCAGGACACTGCAACCATCATAAATACGGGTCAGTTGCCAAGCATCTGAATTTTGACGTGACCATGGGGATGTTGCAACCGTTGTAAGTTTGAAAAACGGTCATTAGTCACTTTTTCAGTTCCATTGTAACTTCAAATGGTCACTAAATGAACTGTTGTAAGTGAAGGACTACCTGTATGAAGTTTATAGAACCAAGTAGAATTTCTTTCATGGTAGTATTTGAAGCCATATTTAAATTATTAAGTTATATTTTGCAGAGAAGTCAGTCATCTTGATGATTGGCCATTTGTTCATTTTGTCCCAGTTAACTAGCTCCTGCAATCTGCATCCCAGTCAAGGAGTTGAACTGGGGGATTGCAATTGCCACATCTCAGATGAATACTAAGCTAGTTAAATATTTAACAATATAACACCAGAACATTGTGACTAAAAAAAGAGTGAACACAGACTAAAGAGACTATAAGAATCATAGTATGAAGACAAGTAACCAAAATCATTGCCTTGTTATCTCTTTTATAGAAAAGTTTGATTAAGCACAGTTTTTAGTCTGAGCAGCAGGATATTGCAATTTACTATTCCAGAATATCACATTTTTTAAAGTTCGAATCATCAATGTTGAACAGTATCTCACACTTTGAACTTTGCCAGACACTTTACACTATATAAGAATGGGGTTATAGCAGCTACACAATAATGCTCAGCATTTCAGATTTGAAGGCAAAAATAATGCTTTGAAAAGATGGGAGTGCACTTGTACCATCCATCTATAGCTCCTTGATTTAATAGCAGCATGGTCCAAGAAAAATATGTTTGGGATTTTAGGGTAGAAGTCTATACTAAAAGTTTGTTTACAAGATTGTTCAATTTTTTTGCAGAAATGTATTAGGCAATATCAGCTTTGGGTTTTTTAGCATTGAATGTACTAAGGAAACCTAGATAGCATGTTTAAAATACACATTCCATTCACAAATGAAAACAAATGTTTCCATGACCTTTGAAATACCTTGCAATGACAAACCTTTTAAAATCATCCTCTGGAACTGTCTGGAACTGAGTATATTGAGTTCAAGTTATAAGAGCAGATAGATATAAGACAAAGCTGATGCAAATAAATATTTCTAGTCTCTGTGACGATTCTGAGTGCACAACTTGCAAGTATGACTGTGAAGATGAATTCTGCATTCAGTTTTACCACCCTGCTGAAGGAAAGATAGATTCTGTAAATATAAATTGGGAAACACAAAGTGCTCTCATTGTTACTATCTGGCCCTCTTTCTCCCTGTGTAACTACTGTCATTTAATGAACTCCAACAATACCCATGGGTTTTTCTTCTTTCTTGTTTTCATAAGAATGGCATTAAATTCAATGATTTAGAATATTTGGTTCTAGATCATCCAGTAAATCTGAGTGGGAATTTGAAGACATTCACTCTAATTCCCAAATTCCTGATGGCTACAATCTCATATGAAAAACCATAAGTTACAGTAACATGCTATACACATTCATTTTAAATATCTGCTGTGCTCAGGAATGTAGACAGAAAGCTAAATATTGAGTATTTGAAGTTTATTCCCAGAGCAGTCCTGTTTATTCATGTGGCAGCTTGTAAAGACACAAAGTTAAGAGGAAAAATTGAAGAAAAACCTCCAAAACGTAATTAAGACCAACGTATTTCAGAACATCCTCCTCCCCAGAAGCAAGTATGCCAGTGAGTTCAGCTTCAACTATTCCCATAAGTGTACAGTATGCATGATAAGAAAGAGTATAGGATCAAGCCTCGCTGAAGCTTCTATCTATACTCTTCAGAGTCAGCTATCTATACTCTGGAGTGGCATGAACATCTGTTCGTATTTTAATCAAGATGTTAATTGAATGTTTCTATTGGTTAACTGTGCTTCTTGCATTGGCATCTTCCAGATAACTGGAAATATCTTGAGCATTCTGGAATTTGCAGTGGACCATAATGGTAGTGGGAATGACTTTGGGAGACACAAGGAAGACCTGCAGCTTAGACAGTGTCTGAAGGAGGGATGTCAGGTATAGAAAGCATCTTAGAAAGGACCCTCCCTATTTTTCAGTAGAATAAAAGGGAGGGAAGAGTAATTGCATAATTGCAAAATACTGTTACTGTAACCTTCCAATAAAGTAGTCTTAGTACTCATGCTTGGTGCTCCTTGTTTTGAAGAGTTGATATAGAACCAGTTTGCTATCCAAAAATGCAAAATAGAGTAAGAAAAAAATAGGGATTTTGCTGTGTAATTCTGAAAGTCAAGCTGTATATGTGTTGGGAGGGGAAAATATGAAGATGAATTCACTTCAGGTGCAATTTCCTGAGAGGCAACATTCCACATAGCAGAAATTCAGGTTTATAATTAGGAAGTCAGAGAGTTGTTAGGAAGGCCTCTTTCATCAAGGATCTCACTCTCCTACCAGGATTTACTCATGGATCTCCAGGTTTGCTCTTGATTGTAGCCCAAATTTTTGCAGGTGAGATAAGTTAACCTAATTCAGGCAAGCTACATTTACCATTTTGGATTTCAGTTGGCAATTTGTGTGAAAATCAGGAAGTGGAGTGAATTCAAATACTGCAAAATCCAAATTTTGCCTGCAGATTACATTTAAAGTGCAGAGATGATAGTTACCCTTACTACTTTAAAAAAAAAATTATTGTTTCATCTATCAAGTTACATTTGTAAACTTCTCAAACCAGCAAACATATTACCCTTCATATTTTCAGAAATAGATTTTTTTTTCCAGAATGTCTTTGTGTCTAGGATGCAAGTTAAATTTTAATATATGAAAAACCAGAAGGTTGCTTATTTATTTTCACAATAAATTCCATATTGCAGATATCACAGCTACAATATTTTGATCTAATTTTTGAAAATGTGATTTCTTTCCTCATTTTTCTTTCATCCTGATGAAACCTTTTGAAGCTTGCACAGTCCGTTGTCCATTTCGTTTGGTTTGAATAAGCTATTGTCCTTGTATGGGTTTTGCGTCTTTCTTATTTCAAAATCGAAAGATGTTCTTTTTAGAAAAAAACCCCTAATAATCAGAGTCCTCCCAGTGCAGCTGAGGTCCCTTCCTCTGTGATTGGACAGGGCAGTTAAGATGATGCACGCTGAGCAATCTTTTCTCTCCTCTTTCTTTGTATGTTACAATTGGTGATAAATAAAATGCTTCTTGGCAACAGGTAAGGAAAGGGGGCAAGCAATAATATACAGAGGACAAATCAGGCTAGGGGATGTATTTTATTGGCATTGTCAAAATGATAAATGATTGTGAATTTGATTAGACTGGTATCTCTAATAAGATGGGATATTGAACTTGACCAGGCAGCTTTCAAAGTCCCAAGGGCTGGGAGATCCTTGAAAGCTAATATTTTCTCTTAAAGGATTGGTGGACAGAAAAAGCTTGATTTCTTATTTTAAGAAAACCTACACTAGTGTATTGGGAAAAAGGAATCAAATCCATAGACATCTGCAGGTAGCAACTAAGATTAAACTAGAATTGCAACTGCATTATTACTGTCTGCCAAAAATACTTGCGTTGTTAGCTCTTGGCCTTATGACGAAGATCAATATATATTAACATCTAATTCTTTTGCCTGAATAATACATCTTTTGTTAATGTTCTATATGCTGTGTATATTGCCTAGAATTGTTTGTGATGTATTTAGATAAAGTTATCCTCAAGCTGATTAAGTGGATTCCTATAAACAATGTCTGATTCTGATTTAACACACAGACACACGCATATACCCTTAGGATTTCCTGGTGGCTGTACATCCATATATGAGCCAGGTGTGACCCTGATTAACTTTTCTTTTTCATCACTTCCTGCCCGATTTTCAGTTTAGCTCTTACTATGTAACTGTTGTATAATAATTCATTTAGCACTCATTTTAATATGCAATTTATGGTTTGGGGATTCTGTTCCTTAAATTTTGTTGTCTAGTTTGACTGCTAACATGAATAGAAAGACATAGTAAAACATAATAAACAATTTTCTATGAAACCCATAGAAAAAAATTATTTCTAAAAATGTTTGTTTCTCAAATTTCATTTGTAACAGCTTGGAACAGAAAAATTTCTAGTGCTAATAGGTTAACGTTATCATTGTTTCTTCAGATATGCCCAAAGGCTGGGAAATGGACACCACGTCAATGGGAACTACTTTTTTCATCAAGTAAGTTGCTAATATTTAGAATAAACCAAAATGATAATTGGTTATTATCAATTAGAAATATTATGGGTGAGTTGTTCCTGGGAGTGGGAATTAGGGCAAGTGGCTGCTTGGGAAGGGATTGCACTCAACCTAAAGCAGAGGTATCAAACTCACGTCGTCATGTCATCCAGTGACATATCGTGACTTTTTTCCCCTTCATTAAAACAGGGTGGGCATGGCCAACATGTGACGCATCCGGCCTGCGGGCTGCATATTTGACACCCCTGACCTAAAGGAACCAATAATCCCACATTGTAGTTGAAAGCTACAGGGGCTTGCTATTGATATGTACATCTATTACTGAGTCATGGGCATGTTAGTGAATGTTTTAAATATATTGTAGTTTGCAAAATAATACATTGCATAGTAAATACTGTCTAAGGCCAACATCCTCAGGTATCTGTCTCCTCAAGGATACCTTTTTTTTGTCTGCTACATTCCTTGCAGATCAAACTTTTTATGGTTCTAAACCAGTGTTTCTCAACCTTGGCAATGGAAGATGTGTGGACTTTAAGTTGCAGCCAGCATGGTAGAGAAACACTGCTTTTAAAAAGTCTTTGAATTAAAAACTGGAAAACTGGCATTCTGTAAAATTACAGAATGTACTCTTCTCCAGTATAATCTGTTTTTTTTTAATAGTATCAAAAGTCCAGATGTCTGTAACAGCAAAACTAGCTGGGGGCACCTGTCGGGAAGGTGATCTCTATTAAGCAAGAAATTAAAACAAGTGCTCTTAAAATATATGATAAAGTTTCTGAAAATAAATTACAAGACATATCCACATTTAGAAAGTAATGTTTTCTTCTATCCCACCTGGAGTTTTCAATGATGTTTATGGATTACATATACGTTAGCATCAATGTAATTTCATGCTATAATGAAGCTTTATCTCCAAAACACACAAAAGAGTTAAATATAAAATGTAAGAGGACCCTTTATAAAACTGTGGGTCTGTGGACATTTTTAAGATAAAATATTAGCTAGCATTTGCTTCTTGAAGCAGTTGTGTATTGAGCTGTGTACAGTTGTTGAAACTGTATTTGATTTTTATTTACTGTTGCCACCAATAGTCAAAACAGTTTGCAGTATTGCACTGAATTTTGCTTTTTGTTTTTAATTTTATGAGCAGTGGTATTGTATAAGTGGCACTGTATAAGTATTTTTACTGTATACTAAAATTAGCATAGTTAATTTTCATAGCTATAATAAAATCTTTGAGTTAAGCAAAACAGGATTTCTCAACAGTATAGCTATGAATGATTTTCTGTAATTGACAGGCTGTTCATTGTGAAAGATAGGCTGCTAGACTATATAGATCCCTGATCTAATCTTCTGATACTTAAGAGCTTCTGATCTTCTGATACTTAAGATACATCTACAGAGGAACACCTAACATTTTTTTTTATTGAAAAAGTTTTTCGAATACAATTTCCCCCCCTTTTTCCCCCCTCCTCCCTAACCCCCCCTCCCCCTCCCCTCCCCCTGTGGCTTCTTCATAATAAAACCCAGATTCATAACAGATTATATAACACTTTACCATCCCCTTACTCCATCCCCATATACTGACCCTTTCTTTCTAATATTATTATTATATCCCCCTTATACTATACATTTCAAAATGACATTCTACTATAACATTATATAATAAGTCCTAATTTAACATAATAATGTTATTATATCTCCCAGTTTAGCGATTTCTGCTCATAATCTACCCTTTTTCTACCCCCCATACATATATCTCTTAAATCAAATCTTTTATGTATATTAGTATAACATTTCAAAGCAACCTTCCGCTATAAAACTATATAATAAATCCTAATTTAACATTTATTCAATTGATAGTCTACCCATTTCCTTCACCCCCATCGATATATCTCTTAACTCCAATCTTTTACATATATTCATATCTAAACATAATATCCCTTTTCTTAAACTAAACAATCAATAAACTAACCTGTCTCCACCCACTTTCCTACAAGACTACCATACTTAATAATTCGTAATATCTTTATTCTTCTACCCACACCACTAAAAAATATTCCCTTATGTAAATAAAATCCTCTTAAAAAAGACTTTAAGCTTGTAATCCATATGATATCTTCTATAATGTCTTCTGATGCTTGATTATTCTGCTGTGAATGGGTGGTATATAAAAAAATGAATATTATGCAGTGGAAAAGTATCTACTGCGTGCTACTGTAACAAGTCTGTTGTTATAAACTGAGATCAGCCTGTAACCTCAAAGCCATCGCTTTAACCAGATCAGGTGACATTTTGCATTAAATAAATGGTGGATGCAATGAACAAAATAGTTGTAATTGCATTGGATTCCTAACACAATTGTCTTGGATGGAGTTGTATCTCTGAATCAAAGCCATCAGCCATTACTGATATGCAGTCATGCTCATGTAGTTCAAGTAGACTATTAACCATTAGTCACCATTCTGTTCTGGAGCACAGATCAAATTACTAATGCTTATGTTTAAAGTCCTGTATGGTTTGATTTGTTCTTTCTCTCTTCCTCCTCTCCTTTCCCCCTCCACCCATTACACATCTATGCTCAGGATTTTTAAAGTCTATAAACATCAGAATGAGAAATAAGAATCCACATATACAGCTGTATTATTATGTGTAGACAGCCTGGGAGGAAGAGAAGAATCTCTTCTATTCTATATCTTTTCTTATTAGAACATTAATTATTACCAGTTATGTAGCAGTGCAGATCAAAAATAATGCAATCAAAATAATATGAACTTGGATATTGGTTTTTCTCTTCCCCCATCCTCAAACTGAACTGGAATTAATCATGCAATAGCATGATTTGGGAGCATACTGTGTGTGTCTCTGTCTCTTTGTCTAGATTAATTGGAAATTATATTCATGTCTGCAATCACGGTCAGATTCTGATTATAAAAACAGGTTGGTGTAAGGAAGATTTTAGAAGCAGTTGCAACCTAAATTGAATGCTTGTGCCTCTTCCCATAATCTGTTTAAATTCTGAACATGCAAACATACATCTTGTTTTCAACCTTACGACTCATCAGACTCTGTGACTTCTTGTCTAATTAAATTATCTTGAAAATCTGAAACCTCAATATTTTTATAATTGTTACCCTAATATCTATATTTTGTGGTAACCAAAGTCTCTGTGTGTGCATTGATTTTAATGTAAAGAGTCAACATCAGTTTTGTTGGCTTTTCTATATATTTTCAAAAACCTGTTGGTTACAGTTTAATGTAAAGTTAAAGCGTTTTTTTAAGCTTTTCATACTTTTAATTGAAGCCTGCCACTATTTGATACATTATTACTTACTATGTCTTATTTATTACCTGTCTTATCTGTCTTCTCCACATACTTAACCATATGATTAATAGTGTAAGATTAGTAAATAAAAGGTTGGCTTCCCTTTCCTTGAATTACTCAAATGCTAACTGTATCACAATAAGCCATCATTTCTTGAATAAGCCACAATGCTTAGGTTTACCCACTACCTTACAAAGTATGGTTTAAAGCAATAATGATTAGGTTTGTGTAACACACTAAGAATCAAACTCTATTTTGTTTCAGTACAACTGTTATATTTTAATGCATACCAAGTGAAAAAGTAATAATATGACAATATTGCTACTAGCACGTCTTTTAACCATGTATTGTTGTGGCTTCCAAATTCTAATTTCCATAAATCTCCAATAGCAACTACAGTATTTCAAATTTGAATAACAAGATAATCCTAATATTTTGGTTAAAGAGCATCTATAACAGACCTAAAGTATGTGTGCTGGCTTGTGGTTTGTATGCAGTATTTATATTGTTTTTATAAACTGCCTACAAGCAGTGCTGAATGGAAGTTGAATGCATTTTATAAATATCAATCATCTAAAACATTTATATCAAATTATTAGCAACTTTCAAACAGTACCAATATTGAAAACGAAATCAAACATAAAAGGAAGTGATGCCTGAATGTAAATTAGTTTTCTCTGAAGTGTTTTTTGGAAGCGGGTTGGTATGTTTATTTGAACTGGTTCCAAGAGCAGTTGAGACTCTTTCTAGCAAACCTGTTCAAAGTAATATCATGATATTTAAGCTTGACCTTCACAATTGAAAGAGATGCTTAATAGCTAAACTTCCTTCTACTTTGTTTCTCTCAGCATTGGTGAATGTGTATTAGATTGCAGCAACTTAGGAAACAATTGGCCTTTCACCATCTACTACTTAAGGCTGGCCAAAGATCAAAAATGTCCCATGGAGAGCAAATGCAAATGCAGAGGCAGGGAATAATGTCATATGTTTATACAGTAACTAACATTTGAAACCCTGATCCTTGATTGTGGATTTTGGAAGTAGTTGCAACATACACAAACACAAAAGAAGGGTTACTGGTGTTCATAAGCAAGCTGAGAACATTGTGGGCATTTGGGGAGGGTTTAAAAAAAATTTATTTCGAGTCTGCACATTTTAAATTGCTGACTAGTGGAAACTACAGGTCAATGTCTAATCTAGTAGGTACCTCTATTAAGCAATCACGTCAAAATCTGGAAAAGTGTGCTGCTTAAAAACTCTGAGGAGGAACAGTATGATTAAGGGCTGTGGACCATGTTAAAAGTAAATTTGTCTGAATCTTGCATTCTTCCAGGGAACTTTCTCTGAATTACTTCAATCTTTGAAATTTATTTGGTGATGACTTGAGACAGCCCTTTTTCAGTTGCTGTGTCCATGTTTTAGAAAAACATTCTACAGCAGGGGTGTCAAACTCACAGCATCATGTTGTCATCATGTGACATATCACTACTTTTTCCCCTTTGCTAAACTGGGGTGGACGTGGCCAGCACATAACACATCTGGCCTGTGGGCCACGAGTTTGACACCCCTGTTCTACAGTATTGAGATCTGCTAAGACACATCTTAGATGTCCTTGCATTACACACACAATATGTCTGTCAAGGTTCCAAGTAACACC